CAAATTGCACGAAAAGTAGTGCATGTACTACTTTAGAAATCGGTGCGGCTCTGATCAAGTCGGAACCGCACCGATTTGACCGCTGTAATTGCGAACAGTAGAGTACAACAACTTGGCATACGATTTGCAAGTTGCATGGCATGCAAATCGCATGCCAAGTCGCACCCAGTGCAACTGGGGTGTAAAAGGAAGCAGTACCAGGAGGTGGGTAGGCGTTGCAACCAAGGTACAGTGCTTTGTGCGCTATGGGCTACTTTACAGCGTGTGTGCTGCCCACTGCTAGGAGGAATTTTCATGTTTCCCAGATTTGGGTTTTAAGTCTAATTTACAAAGAAATTTTCATTTTTTTCCCAATTTAATTTTGTACTATCATTTCACAACTTACAGATTGTAAAGTTCTGTTGCATTATGGCTTTGTGCATTTGCAACTTGGCTTGTCAGCATTCTTTGCTGAACTAGTCATCCATTATAAGGCTACCTTTGTATTATACATACCTAGAAAGCAATAAACTACAAAAAAAGCATTGTAAAAGTACTAGATTACTGCAAAACAAAGATATACACAAATATATGGTTGTCACAGAAACACAGGGAACCCCTGCGTCATTCGTCAAAGAGGAAAGCCCTTCCATGATCTGCAGAATCTGTGGTTGGGCTGCATTCCTGAGCTGTGTGCAAGCGTCATGTGGATCCAAAGAATGTACTGATGCAAGAGGCTGCAATGTACAGGGCTAGAGAAGGAAGAGAAGAAGGAACAGTGTATCCAGGTGCACATTGAACTGGGAGAGCATACTCATAAAAGGAACCTGTGGGCTGTTTTTGTATAACCTAGACACACCTGTTCAAGGTGCACAAGTTACACATAGGCGGAAGCAATTGTGCTTTATGAACCTGGGAAGACACTGTCAATAGACAGAAATCTATTGCCTGAATAGAAATTTGCCCCAAGCAATCATATTTATAGTCTATGAGAAATACTGCACGTAATAAGGTGCACAGCTCAGCGCCAGACATCATTATGGCTGTAGATTGCTTAATACCAATAAAACCAAAGTACAAACTAGCCGGGCAAGATTTTTTTTACCATCTCGCATTTAGTGTTTAATACTATAGGAACATTGGTATAACACGTTAAACAAAACGGATGCTGGTTGCTTTCCTTCACTTTTTGCCAGCCCCCCATTCATACCTGTGCATTTTGTCACAACTTACATGTTCAGGAGGCCAGCAATGACCAAATATCGCTCTCATGACCGTTTTTTTAAAGACCCTATTCACATTAGAGAGTAGCATATTTAGCCGATTTCAGTGCATTCTTTTGTGCTTTTTTTGCACCTTTTGTAGAGCGATGTGCAGTACAGGAGCTACTTTGGGGAAGGAGAGTGCGTTTTTGGCCCCATAGACGTTAATGGGAGCATATTAAAAAAATGTGCAAAAGAATCATATTACGCATGCTCTTCAGGTTCTCCCATAAGTCTATGGGGCCAAAAATGCACTCTCCTGCCCCAAAGTAGCTCCTGTACTGCACATCGTTCCTACAAAAGGTGCAAATAAACACAAAAGAATGCACTGAACTTGGCTAAATATGCTACTCTCAAATGTTAATAGGGTCTTTAAAAAAACGGTCATGAGAGATATATTTGGTCATTGCTGGCCTCCTTCTGAACATGTAAGTTGTCTGGCAGTTTTTTCTGACCCTTCAGCACTTTCTGAGTCACTGATCATGAATGTGTACACAAACAAGAATGTAGTTAGTCTGGCTAAAAAAAGACAAAAGTCAATCCAGTTCAAGCATAAAAAAAAAAAAAAAAGTTTTAATCCCATACCCACAGTTGATCCAGAGGAAGGCAAAAAAAAACAGCAAACCACAATCCAATTTGCTCCTGCAAGGAAAAAAAAATCCTTCCTGATCCCCTGAGAGGCAATCAGATATTCCCTGGAACAACTTTACCTATAAATGTCAGTATCCAGTTTTATATCTGTGTATCCAAGAAAGAATCCAGAATAGTTGCAAAAACACACACACACTTGCTCTGAGCTTGTTTTGGAAATTACTAAAGTAAAAAGGATCATTTAGGCAGCCAGGCAACTAGCATTTTCAAAGGGAAAGGTAAGCAGTGGGATTCTTCGTGTTCCTCCCATGAAGGGTTTCCTTACACAACCACACCTATGTACATTATATAAGGATTTCTTTTCTTGAAAGACCAAAGCTGGTCATATACTATACAGCCTGATTGTACAATCTCCAACTATGTTATATAGGACAAACCAGGGCGGACTGAACATTTGGAAACTCGGGCACTGCCCGAGGGCCCTGGGTCAGTATGGAGCCCCATGAGATGCCCCTGGTACCCTTTTCATAGGCTTTTTTGAGTTTGCGCAAGGACACAGGGGCCCCATGATCCCCTATTGCCCGGGGGCCCCATGAGTTGTCAGTCCGCCCCTGGGACAAACCAAAACTAATCATTGCATTTGTAACAAATCAGGAAAGATCTTGCAGTACATAGTTGATGATAGATCTTAGGCCCCATTTACACCAATGCGTTTATTAGTGCTTTTTGCAGAAATGCACTACAGTCCATTTAATATGGTTTCCTATGGAACATGTTCACGTCTATGCTTTTTTGAGCTGCTGCGCTTTTGGAAAGGGTCAGAGACTTTTTTAAAAGCAAAAAGCAGCGTTTTTGCTGCAATAGAGGTCAATGGAGAAGCAACTGAAATTAATGGTAGTGCGATTTTGCCACGTTTTACATTTGTATTCTGCCCAGCTACAAAAAAACGGCACTTTAACAAGAATAAAAAAAAAGCTGAACAAAATGCAAAACAAACTGCAAAAAGCACTGGAGAAAGCATAAAACACAAAATGCATATACTCTATGTGAACCAAGCCTAAAGGAGATGGGAGGAGATGAACCAGAAATCTGTTAGAAAACCAATATTCTGAATGTGTAAGCTGACTATTTCAGCCCAATTCAGGGCTAAGGCTGGCCATACACTATACAATTTTCTTGCAATTTTCTGCCCAACTTCCATTAGATTTACCTTCAACTAAGTAGCGCAAGGGCATGCCTAATTGAATACAAATGAAAGTGTTGTTTAGGTTTAGCCTCATATTATATGATTTTTGGTAAATCTAAAGCAAAATTCTCAAGAAAATTATATAATGTATGGCCAGCCTAACTTTTTAATGTTTTTTTTTTGTTTTGTTTTTTTTAAGTAGACCTTACAGAAAATGATTGCTTATAGTCCAATTGCATTGTACGTATTGATAACATTGTTTCTTACTGGAGATGTTTGTCCACCCAGAAATAACCCATTGATGAACGTCCATCAAATCTCAATGGACGAACGTCCATCAAATCTAAATTTTTGGCAGATTATATTTAGCTCCTACTATTCATGGATACATATTTTTTTTAGTATTCTTGGATATTTTTCTTGTTAAATAATATTTGTGTAAAAAGTATACTTAAAGCTGAACTCCAGAAAACTTGGAAATTCTCCTTTGCAGTGGGGCTGTGCCCCAAGTCAGCTTTAAGGGACCCAAATCAGATTCGATAACTTAAGTACATATCTTGCCTTATGTGTTGTGTATTCACGCGCAGCCTGATCTGTCTTCATGGCCCTCATGCTTACACTAGGAGACTATAAAGCCCTGGCCACACGTATACAAAGAAAGCTGACTCCTTGACATTGACATTACTGACCCACATGTAGCAGGAGACCATGCTGACTCCCCTTAAAGTCCCATTTGCATGCACAGGTCAAGGCTTTACAACTCACCTCCTGGACATACAAAATGATCTCAGGCGGTTTTGTATCTTAGTCCAAACCCCCCATTGAGCTATCTCACCAGAAAGCTGTCACTGTGCACTGCCAATTATAAGCTGCTGAGGCATTCCCGGTTTGCAGCCGTATGTATACAAGGTAGAAAAGTATGAAGTTGGATTAGGTTGTGCCATATAGGGCTCTATATGTTAGTGTATATCAGACTGGATCCTCTTCAGGTGGATCCATCACATTATTACCTACCTGAGAAGGTCCTCATACTGGACTTGTTGAGCGTTAAGTCTGCAGATCAGAAAAACAACATTGTAGTTTGGCAGGTGCCAGCAGATTCCCTATAAAATATACAAAAAAAAAAAGCTTTATAAGGATCTGACACAGCTGTCCTCCAAAACAGTATTGCCAATAACTAGGATAGCCTTACATGTTCTACATGTCCGATATGAAGTGTTCATGGCAATTATTTAAATGTTGGCAGTTATCTTGAAGTCTATTTTAATATTTTCAATTACTTTACTGACATTTTCAAAACGCTTGAATTTTATTGTATGTTTTAGTGTGAACTGAGAGTTCAGTGGCTAAGCCCCCCTCCCCAACACAAAGCGCCCCTATTTGCTTTTAGTAGAAAGAAAAAGCTTAATATACCTTCCTATATGTGAACAACACAAAACTCAGCGTGACTTGAAATGTATTGTCAGCAGTCCACAAAATTCAGCTTTTTCTGCAGTTCTCAACAGGCTCCCTATAACTTCCATAATCTGCCATAACCCCACCCGAAAAACCCCTCCCTGTGTAACTTCTTTATTTTTGGGTTATTTCAAGAAGAATACTGATGATCAAGTACTAGGTCTCAGCACTGAAGTGCCCTTTCTTATACACCAGAACAAAATTTGAAATGGTGTTTTGCTTTCAGCATATTTTCACCCAAAAACATTGACCACATAAATCATTATATATACACAATGAAAGAATCAGTTTATTTTCCCAAAAATACAATGGTATGCAGAGATTTTCCAGCATGCTGGGTCACAGGCCTAATGGTAGCCATACATGTTTTGATTTTGTTATGCAATCGGTGTCCAATTCAATCGTATCGTCCAACTATCAATCAAAATCCGTTCTCTGTGTGTGTGGCATATCAATAGAATATATTATTTCTATGGGGAAATATCAATCAGAGACAATTGCTCATTTATCAAAGTGTGTATGGTCACCATTGTAGAATCTGTTGTTGGTCACTTCATCTATACGCATTACTCATACTCAGACCAGGGGCGGACTGACAACTCATGGGCTAAAGGGGATCATGGGGCCCCTGTGTCCTTGCCCACACTCAAAGCACACCCAAAAAAGCCTATAAAAAGGTACCAGGGGCATTTCATGGGGCCCCCCCACTGACCCCGGGCCCTTGGGCAGTGCCCGAGTGCTCGAATGGTCAGTCCGCCCCTGACTCAGACCGTTGATAGGGAATTATACATAGCATATGGCCAACTTAAAATGTGGGTACTGAAAACATCTACAATAAGATGCCTGAGAAATTCTATCAGGGCCTAAACAGAGTGGGCAGCACAAGGCAATGTTCCTTTGTACTTACGCCCTTTGTTGAATGTTTTTAAAAATAGTTCTCTCCTTTAAGGAAGATGTTCAAGCTAATTTACTGAATACAATAAGCTGCAAAGTACATTTGGATCATGTACCTACCATTTGTGAGCAAATGTAGGCAAGCGGTCACTCCAATGTATAACCGTGATCCGGAAACCTATCTAGCTGATCCTACACTGATGTGTATGGTACGGCCTTAGCTTGCCATTTGCTTCCCATATGGAAGAAAAATATATTTGAAATATATTTTAAAAATATTCTTCCCAAATATATTGCCATATATTTGAAATGCTCCAATTTTGGCCATGTTCAATATATTTCAAAATATATTTCAATAAATATATATATATACTGCATGTTGAAATGTGTTTTTATTACAAAATATATGAAAAATATTTTTAAAAATACTTTTCAAATATACTCTATGTCTTTTAAAATCCAAATCTATGTTTTTGGAATGCATTTACAAATATATGTAAAAATATATATTAAAATGACTTTTTTATATGTTAAAAAAATCTGAAAAAATATATTTTAAAAATATATATTTTTAAAAATCAATTTTTTTAAATACATTCTTTAGATTTTCTTTAACATATAAAAAAGTAATTTTAACATATATTTTTACATATACTTGTAAATGCATTCCGAAGATGTAGATTTGTATTTTTAAAGACATACAGTATATTTGAAATGTATTTTTAAAAATATTTTTCATATAATTCGTAATAAAAACGCATTTCAACACACAGTATATATATATATATAAATGTATTTATTGAAATATGAAATATATATATATTGAATATGCCCAAAATTGTATCATTTCAAATATATGGCAATATATTTGGAAGAGGTGACAGAACTCCGGGAGTCCTTGTGTTGGTGATTCGGGAGGATGAGTTCAGCAATAGACTAAATACTGGGGCCAGCTTCCAGGGTGCACCGCCCTGCACTACACCGTCCTGGCTAACGATCTACGGCACCGTCCAGACCATGCTACGAAGAGGATTTTTTTTCTCTATCTTGGAATATCCCTTATGAGACTACAGGAGTTCCAGGTGTATCCGTTATGAGCTTCATATTGAAGAACAGATTCCTATGAAGTGCATTCAGCCCAGTGGTTGTTTCCAGAAAACATACAGTGCATATTGACCCTTCCTTTGGTCAAAACCTTTCTGGTAAGGGACAGTGTGTTTGGTGTTGGTGAAGGATCTCTCTCTCTGATGTGTTCCTGTGCACTCACTGGATTCACACTGTTTCTTTATTACATAGTTACATAGTTAGTCTGGCTTAAAAAAGACAGTGCAGTTTTTTCTGACCCTTCAGCACTTTCTGAGTCACTGATCATGAATGTGTACACAAACAAGAGTGTAGTTACATAGTTAGTCTGGCTGAAAAAAGACAAAAGTCCATCCAGTTCAACCATTAAAAAAAAAAGTTATAATCCTATACCTACAGTTGATCCAGAGGAAGGCAAAAAAACCCAGCAAAGCATGATCCAATTTGTTCCTGCAGGGAAAAAAATTCCTTCCTGATCCCCCGAGAGGCAATCGGATATTCCCTGGATCAACTTTACATATAAATGTTAGCATCCAGTCATATTCTGTGTATCCCAGAAAGAATCCAGGCCTTTTTTAAAGCAATCCACTGAGCTGGCCAGAACCAACTCTTGAGGGAGTCTATTCCACATTTTCACAGTTCACACTGAAGAAACCTTTCCTTATTGTTGGACTTTTTATTATACATTTGAAAAAAAATGTTTTGATTGAATTTTTGTTTTACTATTTTCCATCACTGCGCTCTGTATTTATTTATGATTCAAATAATACTGCTTTTATGTCACTTGTTCTTGTATGGTACATTGCTGAATGCAAACCACATACACTTTTTAAAAATTAACTGAAAAAAAGTGTCTGGGTTGCTAAGCAATAAAATGCATGTGTGCCAAGGTGAATGGCATATAAAAAGAACTCCACATGCTATGCCATCATATGAAAAAAGCATATGTATGAATATTTATCATTGAAATCTGTATTCCAAACACAAGTGTATGGAATATCATAGGCGGACTGGGATTTCTAAACATGTACAGAAAAATATTTATACATGCGTGATATAACACCCCTTCATTTACTGAGGATTTTTGCAGATCAAACTAAAGAATGACAGTCTAAACAAGTACCAAATTCAGTTACTATGTGATGCATAAGCCTCACCAAGTAAACAAAAAACAATTCCTTTACCTACCTGAGTGATCCAAATCTTTTTTTAAAGTCTGCAAACGTGCAAACTACAATGAAAAACCCGTAAGTGTTTCACAAAAAAGTGCAAGTGCAAAAACACCACACAAAAAGTGCACTTAGGGGTGTGCTTTGTCCTACCCCCGAAGGGGTTGGACCACTATCCTGATCCCCGGGGCACGAAGCTCCTGACAGGGACAAGGTTCCCATTTGGTCCTCCTGGCCAAAAGGCCTGGTGGACCACCGTTCCTTGTGTCCAGCCGAAGCCGGACATCCAGTACTTGGTCAGGGGGCTCTCCCAAAGAGAAAACCCCCTAGGGACAGGGGAGGAAGGAACCAAAAGGCCACACATCCTCCCCCTAGATTTCAGGGCAGGCCCGATCTCAGATTTTTGATTGAAAAGATACTTTTATTACAGAAGCATCAAAAACAACATGTTACTTGTAATCGGGGTACATCTCACCCTGTACTGCGACGCAGCGCACCACATTGCAATACAGTTCCAAGCATACAATAAATACATTCAGAAATAAATACATTCGCTCAGCGGTATGATGCCTGACGTGATGTGCGTGGAGGACGAATCTCCAGATCACCACGTCATGCATAACGCCGCTTACCCCAAAAACTGTAGCATCCTAATATACATTACGTTTCCTAATAATACTAATGCATGCAAAAACGAAAGCCGGATATTACGATCGACAATAGGCATCGATCTCAGATACTGCAGCTCACAGTGGGAGGATTTTAGCAGGCAATGCTGTCAATCCAGAAAGTGGTGGGCACGACTAGGTATGGTCAGGTGAAGTTACACTCATAGGAATCAGCAGTGACAATGCTGACAGTTACACCCCCTGCAACATCTCACCCTATTGTAGTGCAAGCAGTCATAGCTACATGAGAGTGCTCTGAATCCAGAGGCAGTGCAGCAACATTGCCACCCAATCACAGAAAACTGCATTACGTGGACATCACTGGAAGGCTTTGTGGGACTTTGCAGGAGGACTAAGGGAAAACTGTAAATGCAGATTCACATACAGTTATATATACAGTTGTGTTCAAAATAATAGCAGTGTGTTGAAAAAAGTGAATAAAGCTCAAAATCCTTCTAATAGCTTTTTATTTCCATACACACAAATGCATTGGGAACACAACACATTATATTCAAAATCAAAACATGACAAAAAATATATCAAATTTGTGTTGTTCCTCTAAAAAAATTGAAGAAAAGTGAATATTAGACTGTTCAAAAAAAATAGCAGTGTTTGTATTCTTCTTTACAAACTCAAACATTCACTATATAAACTGAAAAATGTTTGAAGATTTTGCTTTCCTTTGAATCACTTAATATTTAGTTGTATAAGCACTGTTTCTGAGAACTGCTGTACATCTGTGTTGCATGGAGTCAACCAACTTCTGGCACCTGTGAACAGGTATTCCAGCCAAGGAGGATTGGACTACATTCCACAGTTCTTCTCTATTTCTTGGTTTTGCCTCAGAAACTGCATTTTTGATGTCACCCCACAAGTTTTCTATTGGATTAAGATCCGGGGATTGGGCTGGCCACTCCATAACGTCAATCTTGTTGGTCTGGAACCAAGATGTTGCACGTTTACTGGTGTGTTTGGGATCGTTGTCTTGTTGGAACACCCATTTCAAGGGCATTTCCTCTTCAGCATAAGGCAGCATGACCTCTTCAAGTATTCTGATGTATTCAAACTGATCCATGATCCCTGGTATGCGATAAATAGGCCCAACACCGTAGTATGAGAAACATCCCCATATCATGATGCTTCTGCAGCCATGCTTCACCGTCTTCACAGTGTACTGTGGCTTGAATTCAGTGTTTGGGGGTCGTCTGACAAACTGTCTCCGGCCACTAGACCCAAAAAGAACAATCTTACTTTCATCAGTCCACAAAATGTTGCGCCATTTCTCTTTAGGCCAGTCAATGTGGTCTTTGGCAAATTGTAACCTCTTCAGCACGTCTTTTTTTCAACAGTGGGACTTCGTACAGATAGCTTGGCTTCACATAGGCGTCTTCTAATTGTAACAGGACTCACAGGTAACTTTAGACCTTCTTTGATCTTCCTGGAGCTGATTGTTGGCTGAGTCCTTGCCATTTTGGCTATTCTTCTATCCATTCGAATGGTAGTTTTTTCACTTTCTTCCACGTCTTTCAGGTTTTGGTTGCCATTTTAAAGCATTTGCGAATTTTTTAGCTGAGCAGCCTATCATTTTCTGCACTTCTTTATATGTTTTCCCCTCTCCAATCAACTTTTTAATCAAGGTACGCTGTTCTTCTGAACAATGTCTGGAACGACCCATTTTCCTCAGAATTTCAGAGAGAAATGCACTGTAACCAGCATGTACAACATTTGCTGCCTTCCTTCCTTCCTTAAATAAGGGCAATAATTGCCACCTGTTTTTCAAAGAATGAATGACCTCACTAATAGAACTCCACACTGCTATTATTTTGAACATGCCCCT